TGGCAGTGTGAGTGCCATTCCAGACCTAAAGAGGGTAAGAAGCATTGATACAAAAAAGTGCATCGATCCGGATCATAAATGCATGACATGCATAAAGGAAAGGCCACCAAACCTTAAGCAAAGCCAGATAGTCTCAAGAAAACCTCTGAAGCTGATTCACAGTGTGCAGTCACATGCAACTGGCTTCAGCTGGATGGAACAGATACTTTCTTTAGATGATTTGTCCAGTTACTGTGTGCTTTACTGCTAACAGAGAAACCCCAAGCTGCACACATGCTGAAAGAGTATGTTGCCAAAGCGATGAACAAGTTCAACAAGGCTGAAACTGTTCCAAGCAACAATGGTGGTGAGTAAATATTGTGCCACAGACAGGCAAACTTAAGAAAGCAGACTTATATTTCCCCAAAACTCAGAATAAAATCGGACTGCAGAAAAAAATAATTGCTCACCAACGGACATGGTGAAGTGCATGTTGCTGGATGCGGAACTTCCTGAAAGACATTAAACTGTAATGCCAGCCATTTACTTATAAAATAGACTGCCAGCCAAGGCTACTGACAAAACTTCCTAGCAGTTATGGCATGAGTATAATGCCGTATACTCATAATATACCATATTATGAGTTAGTTATACCATAAACTCTGCATAAATCACCCCAAAGCATTTGGAAGCCACATCTATATGTTCATTCCAAAGGAAAGGCGCTGAGGAAAGCATCATGGTTGGCTGCAAGAAGAAAGGAATTCAGGAACCTGAACTCAAAGTTGGACAAGAATATTTTATGCAATGTGGTGTACTTTGATAAATGAGAAGGGTAGAGCCAGTGATGCCTGCAAAGGAGTCATGACTACACAGCAGTTGAAGGTGGCAGTGAGGAACATTGCCAGACATCCAAACACAACCTGAGGATGAAGTATAGGTGGAAGCTCTTGGAGAGCCAGCAGGTGAAATAGAAGAGGTTGCTGTGGAAGCAGACAATACTACTGAACCAAATCTCAGATATTCGTCCTGGTGCAATAGCTGAATCCCAGCTGAACAACTCACCTGCTTTGCAAAGTTGGTATTGTCACAAGAGCCAACATCATGGAAAGAAGTAAAGGGGATATCTTGGGCAGAAGCAAGCAAATAGAAAAAAGGCCGCACAAGAAGAATTAGAGGCACTAAGCAAATGTGGACTCTTACAAAACTGCCTGTTGACAAAAAGGCCACAGAGTGCTAGTGGATCTTTCAAAACAAGCAGGGTACAGAAGGAAAGATACATTGATACAAGATCTGGCTTGTCCACAAAGGCTATTCCTAGAAATTTGGTGAAGGATACGATAAGAGTTTTGCACCATTTGTGAAAAATGTTACACAGTAAGAGAATGTTTAGGCTTAGCAGCTTCAAGAAACATGCATATAGAACAATTTAATATAGATTGCATTTTTGTATGGTTCTATTATTGTTAGTATTATTGTTGTTTTTATTATTTCTATATTACCCAATAGCCAGAGCTCTCTGTGTGGTTCAAAACAATGAATGAGAAACACATGGAATAACCCCCAGAATTTACAAATAACAAAAATGAGCATCTCATGTGCAAACTACAGAAGAGAACTGTGACTTAAAAGAAGCAGTGAGAGCATGGAACAAAACACTGGGCAACATGTGGGTTACCCAAGTTCTTATGCAAAGTAAAACTTTTCCCTTCCCCCCTCAACATGTCATGGAGAATGGTTTATTGATAATCTGTTTATGTGTAACAGTACAGAACACCAAAGAAAACACCAAAGCATGTATTTTCATGCTTCTTTGTGTGAGTGGAGTAATTTGGATTCTTAAGGTATCGGAGCTCTAGTAATCTGATTTTAAAAAGTGAGAGTTCCCCGTGCTTTGTCCTTAACCATGGTTTGCTGATGGCTAACCTGGAATTGGTAACATGCTTCAGTCTTTGGTGTAAAATCCTGTGTTTTGAAGGCATATGTTTAATCTCAGTGTAGACAAAATGATGAAGGACAGTTAATAGTGGCATGGAAATTGTATGAGAGAGGGAGAGTAGTCCATTTCCATTGTATTAGCAATGATTCAGAGTTATGTCTGCACCACTCCTAATTAATGAATAAATGAAGATTATTACATATTTAACATCAGTAAAACTCTATGAATAAAGTTCATACAAAATTTGGAGCAATGGTAATGATTTTATTAAGTTAGGGAAGAGGCATTTCATATCCTGCAATTACAGGATTTGCAGTTATTTTAACTTGGTCAATATATAAATGTTTACAAAATGCAGAGGATTTCTTTTAGGGTATTGTTGGCCTTTTTATATTTGTCTGGACTTTCCTCTGAGGAGCAATTTATCAAGAATTAAATATAACATGTCCTTGAATGTTTTCCCCCGATGTTTATTTTTCATGCCAAAGGAGCCTTTAAAAAAGAGAAAAAAGCAGAAAAAGAAAAAGAATGCGAAACTGCACTAAGGAAAAGGGAGTTGTGGGGCCAAGCTACAGTATGTTACCATGAATATTTCCTCTTGAGATGATAGGAAATTACTTATTTATAAAATTCCTGCAAGCCTAAAATAAGCAAAAATCCCAGTGGATTCTGATTTTCAAACTGACCACTTTGAATGAACTCTCCAGGAAAAGGGTGGGCAGCTTATATAACACTAGGGGACACACTGAAACTGTATACTGATCAGGGGGATCATGACTTATGTACACACATTGCTTGCCTGCTTTCAGAATAATTATTATGAGATGATGTTGCAATCAGTAGACATAGTACATTCATTGGAGTCATAGGCAAAAATAGACAGGGCCCATTAATCTGTACAGCATTTTTGCAAACATGGTAGATTCCAAACTATAGGGGGTAGGCATGCTCTATTTTTTATTCAGGATCCTTATTTAGAGATTTTTATCCTTCAATGTGCAAATATAGTTCCCTGCCCCCAGAAGATGTGTATGAATGAACCCTAATTTAGAAAGGAAGTTTATGTTTTTGTACGTGCTACTAATGCAGAGATGCATCTCTCTGGCCATGTTTTTCTGGGCTTCACTGATCTGACTGGTTCTTAGATTAACTCATGTGGTGATTGGACTTCCTTACCTGTTGCTCCCAGTTGCTGCACTTGATTACAAGTTGCACATGGTCAGAGCTGGATGTGGGTTACAGACTAAAGCAACATAAGAGTTCAACATAGTGAGCATGTTCTTGCATCCTATCCTTTGACTTTTGAGCAATTCGTTTTCACATCTCTTGTCAACAGTGAGAGCTAGAAGTTTTGTTAAAAGTTAATGCTGGGATCCCCAGAATTCATATAAAGTCCGTGCAGTTTGAGTTACACCTGCATCTTACAGGTCTTATGGTGACACATCCAACCGCCCAAGATATGTTATGGTGGCTTTAAACACTAGATTATGAAACGTGTTCGATATATTTGTGATTGTTGCTGTTGTATCTATGTATTGATGAACTGTTCACTGTTCTTGTGTGCTACTTCAAGAATATTTCATAAAACTGAAATAAAAATAAAACTTGATGATTTCTTAAAATGTTGATTAATAGTGCAATTACTATTGTCATGCCATAGATACAGTAAATATCTGCCTGAGTAGATATTCTAGCATTAGGATTTGCTTTCTGAATATTGAAAGAAACCATGGCTGGCTTTAGACTTCAGACTTTTTTTTTTTGGGGGGGGGGGGGAGCCAAAACGTTACTCCTCTGCCATGGGGTGAAGTTCATTTTAAAGAAAATGGCAGAAAGAGATAGTAATTGGAAGCAGGAATGTGGTGCAACCAGTAAAATATGCTGCCCAAAGCTCTATGATAGATCTTGATAAGGCTAGATGTCCAGAAGATGCAAAATCGATTCTTTTCCAGGGCACAATCCTGTGCTTGTTTGGATAGTGGGGTGGGTGGAAGAAGCACATTAGGAATCACAGGACTTTTTTCTGTCTAAACATGCACAGAATTGTGCCCTTAAGTAGGTAATATCACTTTTTCTTTCTTGTGACAAAAACAAAAAAAAATGCCCTGGAGGCTTAGCAGTGCTCTTTTGCCATAGTAAGTTATGTGATTGCCTGAAAGTTTGAAGTAAATCTATAGCAGGTACAATTTGGCGCAGTACAGTTGAAATTAAAGTGGCCTTGCACCTTAATTCTCTCTAGTTAAGGATGACCCCGATATGAAACCAGCGTTTCTCCCTCCCCCTTGATTTAATCCAGAAGTTTTCTCCTCTTCATTTGTTAGATAAACAGTATGAATGGTCTTAATGCTTGATTATGGTGCAATGAGCAGGATGGAAAGCAGTGCCTTTACGGATATCTCTGAATGTGAGGAATTTGGTAATTGCTGCTTTCTGAGCCAAATATGCTCTGTGCTCAGTCATGTAGCAGGTGGAATTCTACCTGGCTGAATAAACTTGCCAAAGTGGAAGGTATTTACCACTCAGGCAATTTTTGGAAGAATTTTGCAAACATTCAAAGCTTGATTAAATGGTTTACAGCAATATTTCTGTGCAATTGCAACTTCCTGAACAATGAACAGAGCTGGGAGACAGATTATGTGACTTGGATAAATGCATAAGAATGTTCTTGCTGTTTTCATAGGCAGTGCCTTTTATTTTAGTAACATTAGATTGCTAAAATGAAAGGAATTCTTTACTTTTCCTTTCCTTCCTTCAGTCTTCTTCTCCTTATCTAAAAGTTAGAAAGGGGTCAATATTACTAAAACTCCATCATACAAGTAACTATGCAATTGCTTCTCACTCTTTTTGGTGGGTCCCTTGCTCTTATATTGTGTGATGTTAGCAATTTCTGGTCCATGAGATTAGCAACTTCCTTTATTTTCCAAGTGGTGACTTTTTTTAGAAGCCAAGATGTTCTCTTGACAGCAAATTATCCTTACAAAGAAGAGCCATTTAAAGAATGTGGTGGTTTTTAGTAGTTTTGTGCTGATGGCTAACATAAAAAGAACAACTTTGCTTTATTCCCATTTTCTTTTCTTTCTAGGTTGCAGTTATGAACAAAATTTATATAATAGTTCAATGGCATGGAAGGCTCCAGACAACCCCTGCATCATGCACCAGTGTCAGGTAGGGAATGGAATGAATGGATTTTTTAAAAAAAGGCTGGCTTTCTGGAAATTGTAAATCTCAGAAAAGGAAGAAACTGCTATCTTGTATTGATTAACATAGTGAACTTGATCATGAATTGAGAGATAAATGAAGAATCTACACACACGTAGAGAATGGAAGGCACCACTGGCATAAGGGCATTGCTGTATATATTCTTTTGCTGGGACATTTGCCTATGAAAATAGCAAGAAAATAAAGACTTCCCCAGGGAAAGATCCAGCGCCTTCTGTGAAAGCACTTTTAGGCAGAGAAATGGATTCAAGATGTTAACGGAGTGGGTTTCTGAAAATCTGAAATGTTTATATTAAATATGAAACTTGCCTTAGGCTTCTCAAACCCAAAAATGTTACAGGGTATGTCTAAATGTTACTTTTCCTTGATACTGGTGGGTTACAGAAGCCAAACAGTAAATGTTTAGTTCTTGGATCTTGTAGTTTGAGAATACATTTGGAGGATACGTAAGGATAAAACATATGTCAGATTTTTCAAACCTGATTAGATTCAGGCAGGATCCTAAGTGTCTATGATGCCTGCAGACTGAAGCTCATACAGGACAACTTTGGAAGGCTTTTCAGAAAGTGCAGTTGGTTCAAAATGTGGTGGATAGATTAGTGACTAGAATAAAATAATGTTTGCCCATCTTTAATAGCTTCATTGACTCCCAGGTACTTTCTGGGCATAATTCAAGTGCTGTTATGGACCTGTAAAGCTATCAGTGGTCCCAGGACCATTGGAGAGGATCTTCATTGGATCTCACTGCCATTGGATATGAGGTCACTGTTGGCCGGAGATAAGCCAGCTGTGTGATGGCAGCTTGGCTTTGGCAGTGCTCCTCCAAAGAGATTGGCTTGGTATCAAGCCTTTTGCCCTTCCAATGCCAGATGAAACCCTTATTCAAGTCTTCCAGGCCTTAGAAGCACTTTTTTAAAGGTCTCCATTTATCTGGTAACATTGCTCTTCCATTTTATAAGGTTTTATCCTGTTATTATTTTGACTGTATATTGGGAGCCACTCTGAAAACTTTTGAACTGAAAAGCAGGATCTGAAGCATCAAAAAGAGTGAAAAAGAAACACTTGAGGCCAGAAAATGCATATAGCCTGAAACTAATGACTGTGATCACAAGTGACATCCCCTCGCTCAGTTTCGCTCTGCCACATCTGTAGCAACATAAGCATACCCTGATATTGCTATCCTCTGCCATTCCCCTGCCTTCATGCCTGTAATCATAGTCTGCCTCTTACGAGCAAGAAAACCCCGCAACACTGTGACTTCAGAATATAAATAAATATGTGTTATAGAGAATGAGGGAAGGATTAAATGTGCAGCCAGTATTTATGTTAAGTTCAGGCTGGTTTTGGCCTTCATATTTTTGTCCCTTTTACTGCCTAATAGCAGAAATTGGCCAGTCAACTCTTATTTAAAACACAATTTTGGAAATCTTAAAAAGGCTCTTTCCCTCTGTGCTTAGGAATGCAAACAGATCCATCAGAAAACAGCAACCTGTGCACAGAGATCTCTTGTACTTATCAAGTTTTAGACTTCTGGAGCAAGGCATGGTGAAAATGATCATTTACTAGACCTCTATCAGCAGGAACATCAGAGATAAGACGCTTCCATTCTGTAGAAAGAGAACCTTTTATCTTTTTTCTATAAGCCCCTTTCTTCCAAGGAAGTAGGATAGGAGGGATGTTTTTATCAGGTCTCTTACCATCAAAGCAGAATGGCTGGTTATTTTCACTTCACCTGTGTGCTAAGAGGACTTTAGACAAGACTGGAATCCCCTGCCCCCTGCTGCCTTTATGGTTTCCTACCACATAGCTACATCTAGCAGGTTTGGATGAGAAGGCCAAAGCACTCTTTGGCATTTAGATTAATCTTCGTATAGACCACAGTGTGCCATTATCAGGTACTAATTGATAACTGGTTTTCAGTCATCTTCTGAACAGCAAAGACTGCCCACAGCTCATCTCAGGGCCCCTCCCTGATCTCCACTTCAGGTTCTTCAGTGAAACATAGTACTTCACATTTAAATATACTTGCATTACAGATGTGTAATGTACAAAAACTGCTTTAAACTTTACATGAAGGTGCTTTAAGCCTCTGATCAGTTTCTTTACCATTACATTTGTTGCCTATATCATTCATTTCTGTAGTTATCTTTGAAGTGTATGCAATATTATCTTTTTCTGTTATGAATAACTGCTGAGTTTGTTGTGCTTTCTGACAGGAAGGAGTGATAACAGAATCTGAGATTCACTGTGTTGTCCACTGTAAAAACCCTTTAAAACAGCCAGGAATGTGCTGTCCCACATGTCCAGGTAAGATTTAAAGAGACAGTGTTGTATATATATCTATGGTATATGAAAATGGCTCTGGGTCCTTTAATTTTTTAAAGGGGTTTAGCATGAAAGGGAGCTTTTTAGGAAAACAGATGCATTCATATATTTGAAGCTGTGTTCCTTCTTGCACTTAGATCATTTTAACTATTGGTTTCTCACCTCATCTCTGTTTTTTCCCATATGACAACATGCCCATTCCCTTCCCCTTATTCTCACAGCTTCTGTATGCGAGTTCCTTTTCTAATATTGATCACCTTCTTGGAGGTAAAGGCTTCAGCTGGAAGACAGTGGGTTTCTCTGGGGGCCCTATTCTTCAGCCTGAGGGTTGAGTGAGGAATCTGGTTTGCGGGTGGAAATCTGTCCTATTTCCTCAGCTTGGCTCTTTGGACTCTGACCCACTTTCTCTCTTCTCTAAGTTCACTGCATGCCAAGCATCTTTTAAATTTAAATTTTAGGTGTGCTAGTGTGGTCTCAGTTAGCCATGGATTTAACAATGGCAAAGCACCTCTGAAAACTCCTCTCCTTGAAATCACTGGGCTGCATCCTTAGTTTGGTTGTGTACTCCAGTGCACATTCAGTTTACTCTTGTAGTCTTTAAAAGTAAGGAAACTTCACAGAATTTCTGTGTATACTGAGAACTTGGGGTGGAAAGTGCATATCCCTAGTATTACAAACAAAACCTTACCAAAGCTTCATAGAGAACTACTTCCCAAGTGCAGGACATGGGTGGGTTGAGCTTAGATCTTTGGGTGATATTAATAGACCAGCAAAGATTTCTGGCTCCCAATTGTTTAATAAGAGCAACAGTAAAGGAATGAAGAGAGTTTGCACTAACCAGGAATGGCTTTTGGTATACTGGCATGGTTTTTAGTTCAGGTCTGGTGTGCCAAACAAATTTCTTTAGCGACCAAACGTATGTCTGTTGCTTCTGGTTCCAGCTGATGGATCTTGGGATTCTGCAAGATTGATTCTTGGGAACAGTGCTGCCATTGATAACAGAATATGTTTTTTAAGCTACAGCATCATATCTTTGGCTCAAATTCAGTTTGTTATCTAGTATCATGCCTACAAAATTCTTTAGTATGCTGCATCCTTTTCATTTTATGTCTGTATGTTTATTTGTTCTATTCCTTATAGAGTGCTTTTTATTTATCATCGCTGATTCATTTCCTCCCTCTTTATTCCCACATTTCCAATCTGAGAACATTTGGAAAGTTCACCTTTTATTATGCTAAAGTAATTGGAATATAACTGAAGCAGTGTTTTCTATCAACTGAAAATTTCATAATTGTATTATTCGCACTGTTGTTCACTGGTCGTATGTATTGAAGTGTGAAGATACTGAACAATACAAGAACCCACAAGAACCTTACAGAACTTCTGTGGATACTTCAATGCAAGAATTGCTCCATTGATTATTACTGTCTTCATCATGCAGTTCATATGACTAACAATAACTTACTTTAGACCAGCATAAATTGCTTCATGACGATTTAAGGGCAGTGAGGCTAGTCTTGTGGAGGATGAGTGGTACTTTGATTCCAATCACTTTGGGTTGGGTTGGGTTGCCATGCATGGTGTTCCATCCTTCAGCCATTATACATGGAAGTAATTTTGTGTGATCATCACTGAGCATACAAAGCTCATTTATATTGATACCTTAGTCTGTGTACCAGCCTTATATTGTCCACTTTGTCATATATTTTTGTGACATTATTGTTGTTGTTGTAAGCTTCGGTGAATGGGGCGGCATAAAAATGTTTTAATAAATAAATATATATTAGCCAAAGCCAAGCATGCAGAAGGATGCTTTTCTTTATCATGAACAATTTCTACCTCAATTCTTCATCACTTAAAGTGATCTCCCACCAATTAGGTTCACAATGACTTTCTCTGGATTCTACGTAATATAATCGTAGATAATTGTGGCATCCAGTTATGACCTAACAGGATTACATAGCTGTGGATTTTCCATGTTTTTTAAAACCAGCATTCCCAAGATGTGTAATGCATTAATCAGAGCTTTCTGCTTAATGTGTTTTAATTAAGTTCCAAGGCCTTTGCAGTTATAAAGATAAGATTTAAAATGCTAATGTGGTATGCCTAAAGGTTTGGAAAAGAAATACAATTAACAAGAATCCCCATATATACTCATATAATTTTAGATAATGATTTTATCTTAACCTGTGATTTCCAAACAGTTATGACTAGTAATACTTTTCTCCTGTGGTGCTTTTACTGAAGTTATATTATGAGGTAATATATGCATGTAGTGGGAAAACATATTTAAAAATGCCTTTTTTCCAGGTTGTACATTTGAAAGTAGACATTACTATGAAGGTGAGGAATTTCGGCCTGAAGGAAACAAATGCATCACGTGTGCTTGTATTGTAAGTCTTTGGCATTGTATCAGTACATATGAATTTAAAAATAATAATTATAAAAGTGTTATTATTAATTGATTTAGAGCTCCGATTCTGGGAGCAAAAGAATATTTATGACACAGCTGTTTCTTTCTGTGTAGTGAAAATGCCACATGGAATATAAAGTATTGGATTTAGGTGGGTGTAGAAATTTGGACTTGTTAATGGCACAGATATAAACAATTTATAAATATCTTATCAGTGGGCATCTGTTGATGTCTCTCCTCTGTCGCCACCTGCCACTCAAGGTGTTGCTGCATGACATGGTGAATGCAAGGAAAATTGGTCTTACCCCATTTTCAGTATTCAGAGCAAGGACCAATTGATGCCTTATAGAAAAATACAGCAAATGCTGGAAACAGGTGCCTGTCAGGGAGCATGACCAGTATAATGGCTGACCAGACCTTGACTGGTCTCTGTGTTTTGGAAGGCCACAACTTCATTTTAACAGTAGCAGTCTGGAAATGTGCACAAAATGACATCGCCCTGAGTGGTTAAGCACCTTTGTAAATGTATAGCCATCTAGCAGGACAGACTTCACAGTTAAAGGTAAAATATTTGTGGGCACAGAACTGCATACTACATATGTGCATATTGTGTGTATGTCACATACAAAACAGGCAAGGAGGTGTAACATTAAAGTGTGGGATATATTAATTTCTTCCAACCTGAAAGCACTTTTCTATTCCTTATGTGTAAAATTGTGAGCAAGCATACACAATATCATGAGTACAATTTGGCAGGATCTCTGGAATGGGTAGAAGTGTCAATCTGGCCCATGTCTTATCACCCCTCCTTTAAAAATAAGTTGTCTTAAGTTTCATCTGCCTGTGGTGTGTTTTGCCTGAGACATGCAATTACTGCTGTACTCCCATGCCGCTCTGGCAACATGCAACCCTTTATAGCAAAGTGGCTATGTCTTATTGTATGGCTGTGTGTCACACGTGAGCTGTCAGCTGATGCTGAATATGCATTTTAAATTCATGTCACAAATGTGAAATATGCAGAAAATAATTGTAATTACATGGGTAACACTAGCCCATGGAGAAAAGATTTTGGTGAAAACCTGTATCCACTTAACCTAAACCCCAAGGGGCTACTTTTGAGTAGCTGTGCATTCTATTTATTTATTTAGTTTAGTTTTAGACTGCCCAGAACTGGCATTGTCAAAAAAACCACACAAAAGCAAATGGTGATAAAAGAACATATAACAAAACCATGATAAAGTGAGTGGAAACAGTACACCGTGCACACTCAAAGTAAAAATAACAGAGAATAAAACAGTGTGAAGCTATAGAAGCACTAAAAATGCTTATGAGAGAATTAAAAGGCCTTCACCTGGTGCTGAAAAGACCATGCCACAGGCATTATCAGAGCCTGGCTGCAGGAAGCATTTTTCAGTAGAGCAAGTGCCTGCACTAGAAGGCACTTTCTCCTGTAGCCACACACCTTGCCTCATGTTGCAGAAGTACAAGGAAAAGTCCTTAGGGGAGTGACTTAGGGTCTGAATGGGTGGAGATGCCATTTCACATAATGTGGCCCCCAGCCATTTAGAGCCTTAGTTAAAATTGGTACTATGATCTGGAAACAAACTGGCAGCCTATGCAGATGGCTAAATACTGGTTTAATTTCTTTCTCTGTTGGTCCTGTGGGTTTATCTAGAAATAAAATGTGCAAAGATCTGAATTGCAAAATTTTCTTGTAGTCTGAACCACAGTTATACATAAAGCAAATATAGCAGCTAACTGCCTATATATCATACTAAATGTACAAGTTCTGATAAACATAAGAACAATGAAATCAATAGAATAAAGAGAAATGTATATAGCTCTTGTTTGCAAACTTTGGAGTCCGCCAATCTAAATGTTTCCGTGGTGCACCGAAGTGCTGGATGCTTCAGTTATTCCACTGCAGGCAATCTCACTTCCAGTAAACAGGACAATTGGCAACTCATTCATTGCAGTTCAAAAATCATAAACCTGTTACAATAAGTGAACTGTAACAAATACCAGTAGTACAAAAATGGACTACCGATATCAACAAACCACATGCATCAGTTCAGTTCAGTTGAGCTCATTCATGGTGACAAGAATCTAGTATGTCCTCTGAGAGATCTTACATGAACTGATTGTCATTATTTGCCAACAGTCGATTATTGAAGAACTTTAGATTTTTCCTCCTTCTTTGCACAGTAGAACATTAAGTATCATGATAGATTTGAATCATTTCATAACTATGGAAAGTCATGTGGGTTTGCCAAATTACATAGTGTGCCATGTTGTTTATATGTCTTACCAAGGTGGAGAATGACTAGTAGACCTACACACACTTCACCTGAGTGTTGCATTTAGAAGGTCCCAGGCTAGCCTGACATCCTCAGTATAAGTAACAGGAAATAATAATTGCCTGAGGCCTTGGTGAGCTGCTGCTGGTGGATTCAGTGATCTGGTTCAGTATAAGGCCACTCCTTTATACCTCCCCTTACCTGCAGTGAGGTGTATAAGTGGTGATTTCCTGTCCTCTTCTCTGATTTCCTCCATTGACAAGTATTTTTGGAATAATTGCCCTTGGCTGGTAACTAGCATAAACTAAACAGAAGCACTTTATAGTAGTTTTATATTGGCAACTTTGGACATGGCACAGACACGTTGCATAACTTACAGGATCTGGCCCCTGGTGGCTTCAATTAATCATTCAGCACAAATAGATAGAGCTCAAGTCTGATCAGAAAAGGTTCCTTTGCTCTTTGCTCGGGGCAAAGTTGGCTGCGTCTCCTCCCCAACACCACCTCAACCTCATCAAGCAGGCGTTGCATGTTGATTAATATGATTAATAAGTTGCCAGTTCATCAGTATTTCCTTCCCCACCCCTTTCATTCCTTCTAGGACAAGGTGTTTGTCAATGGAAACAACACTTGAAGAATTTTTAAGAGCAATGCAGTCTGTCTCCTTCAAGACATGCCTGTCTTGGTTGTTTTCTTAATTTCTTCTTTTCCTCACCTTATTCTCCTTTGAATTAGGATCATGGTTCCACCTGCATAATTTAGCTTGAACACAAATAGTGGAGCCTGTTTAAAGACACTTGCTGAAGTTTGCTGCCTGTGCTTGAATGATCCCTCCCGCCCGCATTAAGAAAAAGATTGCTGCAGCAAATCTCTTATCAGAGTAGTAGGGCGGGTGTCTTCTTTCAGATACCTATCTAGTCATGCGATGGCATGGGAACTGGCTTGTGAGTGATATGCTGCAACATGTGAAGACTTTATTAGATGAAAGGTATTTTTCCCCACCCCTAATTAGGTTTCCACTGTGATTTGAGATTGTAGTCCTTCAGCATGACTTCTGTGAGAAGTTAAGTGTGGAAGGGGTGTGTGTGTGGTGGGGGAACCAAACAAAAGTCTCTGCAAGGATTCCCCACCTTCCCACTCCCAGTTTTAGCTTTAGGTAGGTGGAAAAATACAAGATAGTTTTGTTCAACTCTAAACTCCCATTCCCACGAAAGTCTGTCTGACTGTCAGAGCCTAAAATACCACAACAGCATACTTAGCATAAACCAGAAAGATGCAGCTAGGCTGAAGTAATTAATTTTAATACAGCTGTGCACTTTGCCACCTGCCCACTCATTTGGGGTGAGCCACTGTATTTTCTGGGGAGCAGCCAAGGGAAGGGCTGTGCCTATCCCCCACCTGTTTCCCTTGTCCCAGTATTATTCAGTTTCCAAGCACCTTTCATGTTGGGACTGCAAATCAGTGCGGCCTTGTGCTGGTGTTTTTACTCAGGGAGATGTGACCCAACGCAGTGGCAGCTCCATGTGCAGCTTTAGGAATACAGGCAATTGGCTTATTTGGGGCCAGGCTATTACTCAGTCTAGCTCCGTATTGTCTGAGCAACTCACCGGTGGTTTGGTTAGGATATTTTCTCAGCCCAACCTGAAATGCAGTTTGACAGTGGAGCCTTCCCTAAGGAATGGGGCCTTCCACTGCTGGGGGTCTTCAAGCCATCAGTTAGTGGCATCCTAGCTTTGGATTTCCTGCATCATGCAGGAATTTGGACTATCACTATGTTTCTAAGAGTCTGATCCAGTTTCTTACTGGAGATAGAATAGGCCACATGGCAGGAGTACTGGGCTGGTCAGAGGGGTTGTGGGGACAGAGGTATGGTTTATCGTAAGTGGTGGAGTTGTGTTGAAGATTAAGATTTTAAGCATGATATGTGACTTAAAATTGGTAGGATTGTTGAAGCCAAGATTCTGATGGATCTGGAATTAGATCTATTTCATGTGATACACGGGACAAATATATCTTCCTAGAAGAGTCAATGTTTCATCTTTTAATGGCAACTAAAACAGAGGTGGCTGGATGCTGGAAAACAGACCCTTGTAACAAGATCTGGCATGTTTTTGTGGAAGAAAAGCTTACTGACTAGGTTAAAAGGATGAGAAGTCAAATGAGTCCGATTGATCTCATAATAGTTTGTTAGCCTTTCCTGGGATATATTAAAGTTCCCAATATGGTCTGTCCTTGAATGAGGTTTCCAGTAGAGTATCTGTCCATCTGTACACATACAATACACACATGCGCTCATACAAGCACGCACACACACACACAGAGGTGTTGCAACCACTTTGGCATGGGTCTCATCTTTAATTTTTTGTAGTGTTTAAGTGGGGTTTTATTTACTTCTGTGTTTGGATGATTTGTTATCAAAGGGAAGGAGGCAGGGTTTAGGGGAATTTTCTTTTGAGTCTTTCTATATCTTTCAACCCCCTTAATTTGAGATGCCTTGCTTAGCTGTTGCAGCCTTTCCCAGATGTCTGTCTGTCTCTTTCTTTCTGTTTAGTTGTGGGAGATATTTGATCAGGAGGAGAGTGTAGCAGCCATTTAATGGGAATGATACTCAATTCAGTTTTTAGTTATGCACAAAGCAGTTTGCCTGAAAACTTTATCCCTGCTTCAAAGTTTATTCTCAGCT